ATGTTATGGTATCGAATAACATAAAACTGACACATACACATACACACACATTTTTATTATATTGACATTTCAGCCATTCCTGGCTCACAATACAGAAGTTACAATGATGTGCCTCATATGCACTCATGTTATGGTATCGAATAACATAAAACTGACACATACACACACATTTTTATTATATTGACATTTCAGCCATTCCTGGCTCACAATACAGAAGTTACAATGATGTGCCTCATATGCACTCATGGTATCGAATAACATAAAACTGGACCTTTTGTCTGTGCAAAGTAACTCGTCTTGGCTGTGTTTTAGTAGAATAGTATTTCGTAAAATACAATCACATTTCAATTATTATACATTATATATGTATATAATATTTTGAAACAAGTTTTGTTAAAACAGAACAGTAAATAAAGAAGTAAAACAAACAATTCTCTTCCAGTTAAGACCTTTGTACTGCTGCTTGATGTAGATTGCCAAGCTTTTAAAAATTTTCCACATGGAGGATATGAAACAAGATTAAGGAGGCAGATTGTGTCTTTAGTCTGCTTGAAATTTCATATTTTTTTAGACCAAAATACAGCTTAGTTACTGAACTTGATAAGTTATAATAGAATTCTATGGTATTAATCCCTAGAGGCTTTCTCAGCCATTTTGTGTTTGGACACCATTTCTTTCTTTTGAACCAAGATTTTAAAGTAGCTTGTGTCTTTAGGCTGCCCAAAATTTCATTTTTTTTAGATCCAAATACAGCTTAGTTACTAAGCTTGATAAACTATAGTGGAATTCTATGGTATTGATGTAGTAACTTATGATTTTTTGGTTATTCAACTGCATATATAAAACGTAAAAAAAAATTATTTTGTTTCACATTCTCCACGTGCAAAATTTTAAAAGGCTTAGCAATCAGCAACTAAGTACAAAGGTTGTAAATAGCAATAATTATATACACACAATATATAATACTTGAAATGTGATTGTATTTTACAAATTACTAGTCTACTAAAACACACCCAAGACAGGTTACTTTGTAAAGACTAAAGGTCTGTTTTATATTATTGGATATGGTAACACAATATAATAAAAATATATAATGTTATGACATTTAAGCTATTTAGTCTAAACATTTATGTTTGTGTTATAATTTGTAGTCATTCTACAATGAAAAAGACAACTCGTATTTATTTCCTAATTTTTTAATGTACTTACGAGATCAGTCAAATCGACCAAACCCATACAGTGATACATTACTGAAAATAACAGATAAAATAGTTTTTTCTTGAGAAATATTTGATGTCTATCTGGAGATAAGGGTTGTGCATGTGAAATTTTCTGATGCACAAAAGTATTTTTTAATCTTAAAATGAAAATTGCTTTACATTTGACAGGCAACATGTGAAAAGAAAAAAGGCACGAGAAAAACACTGCTTTAGAAACATTAAGATTCAGTAATAATAAAAAAAAAATATTTTGCGTATGAAAGCATTGTAATGTTCACTGATAATCTGCCAAATTTTGTCAACATATGCTTACTAATTTAAAAGTTAAAACATGAAAACTATAACAAGCACAAAATGGTTAGGAGGTCGGTCCCAGGGACTGAGCCTGTGCTGAAAGAGTTAATGATCTCATTGATTGATTCATTTGCAAATACCATTATAAAACTCAGCTTTAATCACTTATCAGTTCACAACATAACACTCGTTGTCAAACAATTTGCTAATATAAAGTCCCAACTTCAACCACATCTGTTGTATCCCTGCCAACCTGAAGAGTCTTGGTATTATGGGATTTTGGTGATTTTTTAATAATAAAAATAACAAAAATTTGTACAGCACTGGATTTTACAGTCAAACTAAGTAGATTTACACCACAAGTTCAATTACGCAGTTAATATTTAATAAAAAACACTTAAAAATCATACCTGTAAACAATCCTCTTGCTCCACGCAACCTTCCCATTGGAACAATGTTAACAAAATGGCATCCAACATGTAGTCTGTTTAGGTTTCCAATTCATTATTATTTTTACACTACGTCAGTCCAATTGGGCAAACATATCCATGTATCTGTTTATGCATTATGTAAACCACACCACAAAATTTATTGCATGGCTTTTTTTCTACAAATTCAATGGCTAAAAATAATTTTAAATGGACTTCAAGTTATGTTTGCGTGTTTTCAAATAGTAAATGCTTCTGGATCCAATGAAACTGCCCAAAACAAAGTAGAGCATGAAAAGAGCTATCATTTGGTGTATCACTAATTCTTATTGGTCCAGCCAGTTTGAACTGACACAGTTTTTGGTTTTAACATTTCTTCTCTCTGCTAAATGGCAGAGGATGAGTTTAGCTATCATCACAATCTTTTTAAATCTGATTTACAACTAGTGGGAGTACAGTTGCCTTGAAATAAGTCATGCAAAGTCAGACCGTATTAGTACCGTAGACATTTTCCTTTTTCCGTTTTGTGTACAACAATCAGTAATTTGTTTGCATGAGATTTATATATTTGCTACTGCAATTCCGCATTCACATACTTCTGTTCCCGGGAACTATTTCTCTGGGACCCCTTACTTGTATTGGGTGAGAAGCCTTGTCATCACTGGATATAGTAATGTAGATGATACACACTCTTCTTTAATTTCATTCATGAGTTTTTATTACTAAATAATCTTTGAAATAAAAATGAATCATAGAAATCACACTTAATTAAAAAAATCCCCCCCCCCTTCTACATTTGATATGATAAAAATTACATGTCAGTTTGTGCTATCAAGAATACTGAATCTTAAACAGGGCTAATTTGGATCTAAACATGACAGTATTGTCAAGTCTTTTACAAAATTTAATTCATGCTTTAACATTTTTTCAGTGACTTGTTGATTAATGTATGAAGACTTACTTCACTGGTATAAAGAAACAAGTTAAACATTTCTGAACTTATAATTATACTCAATTAGCATTTTCTGTATTAGTACAACCACACCAAATATCATTACCAACAGTTGACTGTTTTATAGTTCAAAATAAATCTGAATTACTTTAAAATGTCAAAATTAGATTTCACAAAATGATTGTTCTTTTGTTTTTTTATTAGTGATAATAAGTTAGTTGACAAAGGACTTTGGAAAATCAAAAAAATACATATGAAAAAAAGATTAGATTTTAAAACTGGAAGTATGCCCTCGAGGGAATTGATGGAAGGGTTATAACAGAAGATTATGGAATGGCCAAACTAACTTTCTTTTTCAGTTTCACAAGAGATCTGAACAGTATTACAGATCCTAATAAAATTACTAGGAAATATGATAGTTGTACATCAGCCTAAAGTTGGTCCTGAAATTGGTAGTTTATAAAATTAAGACTCAGAGCATATATTTTCCAAGGGTATAAGTGAGCCCATTAATAAATTTTTACATGTTTAAGTAGTAGCCAGAATAATATAAAATGGCTAATGTTACACCTATTTTTAAGGGAGGTGGCAAGCAGTGTCCTCATAATTATATAATTAGTTTCATTCCGATAGATGTTAACTTTTTGAGAGCCACTTTAAAGATGCTTTACAAAGTAACCTCAAAAATTTTTTGGTCTTCTTTGGAGTTATCATTACTTATTTCAATGATTGTAAATGTAGAGTTTTAGTGAACTTGGGTTCTTGTCAAAGTGCCACATAGGCATTAGTAAATAAAATTAACTCTGCAGGTGTGATAAGTTAGCCATTGAAAGTAATAGTTGGTTGAAAGAAGGGAAGCAAAGATTTAAGTAATGGCATTCAGTCAAAATGAAGTACCTCAAAACTCTGTGTTGAGCCCTCTGATATGCAATTAAAAATATTAAGGTAATGATCAAAAATGATTTATAAAAAGGATTTGGTTCATTTGGAAAAAAAATACAGAATTTAATTATTCTAAATGACTTACGATGAAAAGCTGTTATGTTAAAGTCTTAAAGTTATCTTTCCTTTGGAAAAGAAAATGTAAAAATCTGCTTTAAGTGTTCCAAGATATAAACATTTCTTAGATAAGTTTATTAGTGTTCTTTGGATTTCTTCTTAAGTAAATAGATACTCTTTGTCTGCACAGTGGTCACTGGTCAGATTTTCTTTATCTTCAGCCATTATTATAAGCATTTAGTTTCCCAAAAAGAGCTCATTATCAACTTTTCTCTCATGATTGCACACAAATTTATTCTTGTACCACATTACATTTACAGTCACATTTCATCTTGAGATATTACAATACGGACACACACTATACATTTAACAAGCAGAATTTTGGGTAAGTTACCATATCTTTAAGCACTGCCAATTACTAACAATATCTTGGGATGTTGACCTCTTAAAACGTCAAAAAAAAGAAATTAAAATGTTAAAAATTTCTGCCATATTACTGCGTAGTATGTTATTGTAAGGCATACTTCTGTGGATAGAATTTGGTATAAACAAAGGTACAAGTATGTTTTTATATTTGTCTACTTTTTAATAGTGGGAGATTTTTCCTGACAACTTTACAGTAATCATTTCGTTCCCGTTCTGCTTTCCGCCGTTTGCGGCATGACTTCCTCTTTGGAGTTTTAGTTTATAACAGTAACACTACGAACTACAAATAATACTCATTATCGTACTAGGCTTATAACATTAATAGATTTTTCTTAAATTAAACTTTATATTTTGCAACTTTAATAAATACAGTAATTTAAATGAACACAACTACCATGTTACGAAGACACACAAAACGTGGTTCGAAGTACCCTACTAGTACAACTTACCAGTCTTATCGAACACTGCGCATGCTCCGACAGCCAAACTAACATTCGTGAACAAGGGATACCATCAAGTTTAACTTCACTTTCAACTTTTAAAGTAAAAAGAATATAGACCATTCAGCAACCATTAAATTCATTCATACTTAGGTCTAATGATAAAAAAACAGAAAAGAACATGTATTATTAAAGCTTAAATTCCACCATCAAGGTACATATAACTTAGGCATTAGCCTACCTATCGTCATCAGATCTTCCTTTACCAGAATCCATTAGACTGTCTCCTCCTTGCATGGCGCCATCAGTTTCCATGCCTTCTTGCTGATATTGTCCATACTGGCCATCGTTGTAGTCACTGTAATCTTGATTCTGCCCATTATATTGATTATCGTCACCCATTTTACTAAGTATTTATAAAAACTTAATATTCTTCCAAACTAAAAATGAAATATATGTTAACAAATTACACAATTACGTTAACAAAGAACTTCGCCGCTAAAGAAAAAAACGTTCTTCACAGACAATATTTATAGACTAATACCACGTGACAGTTTGGTATCTTTCTGTTGGACAAATTTTATGACGTTTTATCACATGACTTTTAACGGATTTCTTTTTCGGACGCCATCATAACAGAAAATGTCTTTGACTTTGTAACTAATTTTAATATTTTGATTTTTAAACACATAATACTTTTTCAAATGTTTTACGTTTATACAAAGTTGTTTTTTGTATATCCATTAAGTATAAGGTATACAAAAATATTCTTAAATAATATTTCATTAAGATAAACATAAATTCAATTTAATTATTTGCTATTACTTATTATAAGTAGTAAAAATAAGCTCAACATTATGTTTTAACTGTTAAAAATAAAACGAACAACCCAGGCCTGGCGATAAAGATAAGCGCCAAATACTGAGGATTCCAATGAGAGTATTGCTTTGTTGTAAACCCTCTGTAAATTTTCGAACAGTCGGTAAAAAAAAAAAAATAATATTGCAACACCGTCAATAAATCAGGAAATATGAAACAATATCAGTAAATTTGGATGCAAATAAAAGATAGCGTGTTTTTCACTGCTCCTCGGCATTCCCAATCATCTTTAGTAACAGACACCTACTGTCATCATCATTATAGGATGTCTTGTTTCCGATTGTTACCCGCTCTTAAAGATACACTTCAACAATTAGCTGCAAAGACAACTGTTGCATAACCCTAGTTACCAAGCAGAAAAAATCGCAAACAGATATAAGAAATTATTCCACACATATTATGGATGGAATTTTGACTCTTCACTGCTGTCAAAAACGGCACCAGCTTCAGACCAACAACACAATAGCAGAAATATTCATAAAAAAACAAGATAAGACCTAGATAACTCAGCTTAAGTGAAGCCAACCATTACCTAAAACCATTAGCCTTCACCAACACTTCTATATACACAG